AGATATCAAGCCAAATATAGACCACCTGAAGTAAGTCTATTATAACTCAGTAGATATCAAGCCAAATATAGACCACCTGAAGTAAGAAACACACAGGTCTTTATACAGCAATGAAAACATTACTGATTAACCATACAGCAAACCTAAAAACATATTACCCCATATTTGTTATACATTCATGTTTTCATATATTCACATGCATTGTTATTTATGTGCACTGTTCATGAGTAAAGCACAGTTATTGCAGCAAACTATGTCTAATCAAGACTTTATTGTTGGTGGTGGTTTCTAAATGGTTATCATGCTTTATTTTCAACAGAAAGGAGACCCACCTGGTATGCCATCAGTTGGTCCAGTTCCACATTGGCTGACAAACACTAAGTACCTTGCTCCATTACTTTTATCATATGATGACAGACTCAAAGAGAAAGATTCAACTATAGAAGCATATGAGGTGAGTACTTCTACCAGATATGCATGTTGTCTTCAGATTTGGATTCTGTTCTCATGATAAATCATATTATACTCTTGTCACCAATGCAATTCAACCGATGGTAAAACTCTGCATTTCAATGTGGCATGGAGGCAGGTTTTCTTTTTTGAAAAATATGCTATATTTAAATAAATAAATATACTATAAACTTGTGACATGGCAACAATGCAGTGTGATAATAGATTTCACTGAACACATGAAAGCATGCAGAAATTGATTTAAAATTCTTGCTGTCCTTATATCTCAAGAAAGGATGTAAAATATTAATAAGGTCTTCATGACTGATGTATACACTGGAGAGGTAAAAGTTCACCTCTGTCACACTCTGTACTGCATACATTATGATATTTTAGTGTTAGCCTGACACATTAACTCTTATTCTCTAATTTAATACAAAATTTGTGCTCAGTATTATTATGAATATTATAAATGATATATTCCTATTTGTGTTTGTATTTTAGCATGAACTGAATCAGTTTAAGAGTCGCGTAGAAGAGGTTATTGAAGAGAACCAACGACTACATTCAAAATCAGAGCAGTATGAAAGAACAGGGAAATCTTTCATATCACCCTCAGAATGGTTAGTGATTTAATAGCAATTCAAAACAAAATTGGTGGCAGCATTATACTAGACATCTTTGCCAGCCAAGACATGTTTATTCGGACATCTACACACTTCTCAGCAAATGATTGTATATAACTTCCTGGTATTTCAAACAAGTGTGACATCAGAGACAAATGACTCCCCATATAATGGTGGTACAGGGAGTCCAAGATGACATCACATGTGAGAAATATCAGCATGTTATATATTTACTAAATATGTAGACACAGTCCCCAAGTCATAGACAAGTTTTGAGTAGGAGACTATTTTTATTAAATTTTTTGAGGTCCAAACGTAGTTTTGAATCTCCTAGTTCAGCATCGTTCGAAACGCATGGTTTCGCTAAAGGCGGCTATTCATAACCAGCCCACGAACCCGTGCGTGATTGCGTTAAATTGAGTCATTTGATTGGGCGCACCAAGGAGCTGGCGCTACCAATCAGTGTTGCTGTATCATAAATTTGAATGTCTGGGGTCATCACAGATTAAAACAATGGCCGCGTGCAGGATTTGCGCTAATTCACTGCGAGTCAAGAACAGAAAGGTCTATATTTGTTGACTCGTTTCCAAAATGTTTTATTACAACGTTGAAAATTGCTTGTGGGCAATTGAATGAAGTTGATGGAATGTCTAAACATTTGTGCAAATTTCTGTTTTATTAAACTGATAACATATCGACTTGCCCGATCCGGTCTTCGTTGCAACAAACCATGGTTACTACATGTAGTTCTAGTTCTAGTAACCGTGAACAAGCACATCATTTCCCTCAGATACAGCACTAAGCGCTTTCTTTTGATGGTCAGTAAGTTAGTTCATAGTTTGTTCTATATTCCACTATTTTAAATTTACCAAATATGTGTCGTTTATATCGTGAGTTCTAATTGGGTGATGCAAATGAGTCTGAGTGAATCTTATAATCGCTTGAGGGCGTGCGACATACAGTAAATTGTAGTGAAATCTGCCAAGGGTTAATGTTGAGGCTTCGGCCGAATAAATGGTCCTTGGCTGGCGAAGATGCTAGTTCCGTAGCCTACAATTTACCATATTTATTTATTTATTTAACACTGCCACGGACTGTTTACTGCATCAAAAACATAACGCTTCATGTGTATATGGTTATTATTTCCAATAACTGTACAATTTGAAATTATTCCTGTTGGTAGAATCCCTAACTGGTGGCTTATGCTGGGTAGACAATGGGAAATTCTTGTACCAAATTATTCAACATTGTAAATATATCAAGTTTTACCCGGTACATGTATCTTCTTTGCTGTATATCCCACAATTTGTTCATGTTACAAACATTTCCAACTTGTTTACAGTAGCGACAAATTTGACCAGTTTAGTCCAGTACCATATCGTGCACATGTGTGGTATGGAATTTATGAAATGATAACTAGTAATATGATAACATAGTCACATATTTAGAAAGCACCCTCAGAGCAGACAACTGTGTAATTTTGCTGAACTGTGACAAACTTCAAACTGTAGAAGTTTACAAATAAAGGAAGCAACTATTCATATTATGTACTCGTAACCTAGAATGCCTCCTTCTTGAATAATAAGATAATAACCCATATTCTCTAATAGTGTCAGCCCCAAGACCCAAACTATAGAACCAATCTATGATTCTAATAATTGAATTTGTTGTTTGTTTTCAGGCATCAACTTCAAGAACAAGCCAAGTTAGTATTAGAAGAAAATCAACTATTAATGGAACAGTTGGACATTCAGCAAAATAAACAGAAAGAAGTACACAAACAACATCTACAAGAAGGTACATTATGTATACCTCATATTATGTGTTTGTAGTGTGGTCACTTTCTCACTTTCAAATCCCCATGTCAGATAATATATCTTTATTGGTGATTTTTTTAATAAATACTCAAGATGCACATTCATTAGATTATAAAATGTGTTTGTTTTCTTTTTCTAGTGTCGCGGATATCGAAAAAGCTGATCCTGTCTGAGTCAGAGAAAAGTAGCCTGGAAACTGATCTAATGGAAGTGAGACATAAGTACAGTTCATTAAAAAATAAACATGAAGCATCATTGGTTGAAGGAGATCAAAAGATGCCAATACAGGAGCATTATAGTACTGTTGCTGATTTCAAACGGTAAAATATATGCATTTATGTTAATCAGATTATTTTAATGTATGGACAAACTATAAAGGTGGCTTCCTGATATGATTCTCTGTATTGGCAGTATTAAGTGTTTTATATGGATATATGTATATTGTATATATGAAATTACAGTCTATTTTTCCACTTAGTATTTTCCTAGTTTTTAGCTCCGCTGTCGACTTTGTCGAGCGGAGCTTATCATATGAGTGATTGTCCGTCGTCGTCCGTCGTCGTCGTCCGTGTCAATGTTTTACTTTTTCGACTTCTTCTTGAAAACTACAAGCCTGAATGCTTTGATACTTGGTGTATATGTACCTTGGGTAGACCTCTCTTAGGTTTGTTCATTTCATGTTGATATCTTCAATTCTCTAATTTTGGTGAATATTTTTGTCATTTTTGGTAAAAAGTGATATTTTCGACTTCTTGTTAAAAACCGCAAGTGCAAATGCTTTGATAATACATATATAGGTACTACATGTGGACCTCTCTCAGATTTGTTCATTTTGTAATGATATCTTTAATTCTCTAATTTTGGTGAATATTTTTGTCATTTTTGGTAAAAAGTGATATTTTCGACTTCTTGTTAAAAACCGCAAGTCCAATTGCTTTGATACTACATATATAGGTACTACATGTGGACCTCTCTCAGATTTGTTCATTTCGTGATGATATCTTCAATTCTTTAATTTTGGTGAATATTTTTGTCATTTTTGGTAAAAAGTGATATTTTCGACTTCTTGTTAAAACCGCAAGTCCAATTGCTTTGA